CACATCGGCCGCGGCGGCACCGTGCTGGAGGTGATCGCGGAGCTCATGGGCCGCGTCGCGGGGTGCAGCAAGGGCAAGGGCGGCTCCATGCACATGTACAACAAGGCGACGAATTTCTACGGCGGGAACGGAATCGTGGGCGCGCAGACGCCGCTGGGAGCGGGGCTGGCGTTCGGACAGAAGTACAGCAACGTGCCGGGCGTGACACTGTCCTTGTACGGCGACGGCGCCGCGAACCAGGGCCAGCTGTTCGAAGCGATGAACATCGCGGCGCTGTGGGATCTGCCCGTCATCTTCGTCTGCGAGAACAACCACTGTGAGTCGTGAGTCGACGCGCCGCGCGGCGCGCAGTCTTGCGTAGTTGCCCGCGATCCAGCCCGTCAAGTCCGGATCTTGCTAGCTGGTTGTACCACTCATGCTGCCTCATCGCATCAGCACCATCCGCTTGCCGCCGCGCCCGCCGCCCTCCCCTGTCCTGGCAGACGGCATGGGTACTGCGGAGTGGCGCGCCGCCAAGAGCCCCGAGTTCTACTGCCGCGGCGACTACGTCCCCGGCCTTAAGGTCAGCCGCGCAGCCTGCGACGCGAGAGTGCTGGAAAGTGGGGACGGTTGAGCTTGGGAGGGCGCAATGTTGAGGTGGAATGCGAGTATTGGACGCTAGGGTGGGCTGATAGGGTGGGTGGTTAGGGTTGCGAGATCCCAGGGCATTGCCGCACCTGTCGTCTGCTGTTCGGTCTGGAATGAACGTAGAGATTCAAGAAGCTACGATCACGGGCAGCATCGAACAGCGATGACCGTCGTCAGCATGAGGATCCCCAGTACTCGCATTGGCAGCGAGCTTCACTTGAGGCTACCCGTAGCGCCGCGAGATTACCTTGATGATCGCCCAAGATACAGATGAAAGGCGGGCGTCATTCGTGACCTGGCTGGGGCGGATCTGGCGGCGGATAATTGTAGCGTCCGCACGCCCGAGTAGCTGATCATAGGTCGCGGCAGGGGCACGCACCGCTGGTGTATCGCGTGTGCTGCATTGCCCTCAGCCGTCATTGCGTGTGTGTCCCGTGTCGTGCGTGCATGGCGGCGCGCAGGTGGACGGCATGGACGCGCTCGCCGTGAAGCAAGCCGTGTCGTACGCCAAGGCGCACGCGCTCAAGAACGGGCCCGTCGTGAGTCACTCTCACCTGCCTCCGCCCTCTCGCACGCACAAATGCACCAACAACTACCTTTTGCATTGCATGTCCCTATCGAGTGCTTGCCCCACTTTCATTGTCCCGCTGCCCTCCTTTTTTTAAACAGTCACTTCTTGTCGCTTTGAGCCGCTACCGGTGTCCTGGATCTAGGCGCGCTCTCATTTATTGAGGTAACTAAGAATATGCCCTCTATCAACACCCCGCCTGTCATCCACCCGCTGTTGGTCTGCCTGACAACCCTTCAACGTGCGCGCATTTCCCCTTTCCCCGTCACCCTCCCTCCCTCCCCACTTCCCGTCTCCCCCTCCCCCGCTCCCTTCCCTCCCCACCCCCTCCGCTCCCTTCCCTCTCCCACCTCGCCCCCGGCAGGTACTGGAGATGGACACGTACAGGTACCACGGGCACTCCATGTCGGACCCGGGCAGCACGTACCGCACGCGCGAGGAGATCTCGGGCGTGCGGCAGGAGCGCGACCCCATCGAGCGCATCCGCAAGCTGCTGCTGGCCAAGGAGGTCGTCACTACCGCCGAGCTCAAGGTACCGTGTGTGCTTGACGGTGCTCGTGCCCGTGCCAATGCTGCTGCCGTGCTGCTGCTGCCCGCTTTCGTTCCCGCTCGTTGCTACTGCGTCAACAAGGACATTGTGCGTGTTGTTCTTTTTCTCCTTCCTCCACCTCGTCTCCTGCCTGCCTACTTCTTTCTCTGTCCGCCCCTCCTCCTCCTCCTCCTTCGTCACTTTCCTTACTTCCCTCCCTCAACCCTTCCCCGTGTTTTTCCGTCCCGTGCTGCAGTCTTTGGAGAAGGAGGCCAAGGCACTCGTGGAGGCAGACATTGAGAAGGCCAAGGTCAGACCAGCCAGGCCGCCACCCACTCGCTTAGATTGTTGCACCCTATCTCACACCACCTGCATTGGGCTGCTTGATTTACCTGACATGCTGCATTTGCCACCAACGCATGCCCTGATGCCTTTCGGGGCATGGGGTTGTAGGTGCCGAAGTCTTAGATCTTCGCTTATTCTTTCCCTCCACACTTTCACTTGTTGAACCCGTCTGCTCCTCCTCCATTTCTGCCTCCTGTTACATGCCATCATCGCCAGGCGTCGCCCTTCCCTGACCCCAAGGAGCTTTTCACAGAGACTTTCGTCAACCCCAAGGGCACCGAGGTGAGCAAGAGGCACTTACGTGAGCAATCATTGCGGTGAGCAAGAGACATTGCGGTGAGCAAGAGACATTGCGGTGTGCAAGAGACATTGCGGTGAGCAAGAGACATTGCGGTGAGCAAGAGACATTGCGGTGAGCAAGAGACATTCGGTGTGCAAGAGACATTGCGGTGTGCAAGAGGCACTGCAGCGATCAAGCCGCCATGGTTGCTACAACACTGCATGCTCTCTTGGTGCCATCGAACCACTGATTCTTCGCTTCTTCAAAGTCATGTTGCGTTTCATGCTTTCTTCTTAGCACAACAAGGGCTGTGTGGCGTCTCGCTTGTGCATCGTTTCTTACTGCAAATTGTCTTGCCGTCTCCATGCAGTTCTATGGTGCTGACCGGGTGACAACGCACGTTACATTGTAATACGGTAGTGGTGCTCTCGATGATAGTGCAGTTAGGTTATAAGGTGTCTTCGATACCGTAATACCGTATGTTTGTTCCGTTATCCATTATGCACACCTGTGTACGTCCTGCTATACTGCTTCCAAATCAAGCTCCTTCATGCATTTTTGGCAAACAGCTGCGGTATATCAAATGTGGATGTGCCAGTTTGTGGTAGTCAATTCTCAAAGCAAACCGTGTAGACTTCCACATTTCCAAAGTTGACATTTATAAGCCCCAACACGAACAGCTGAGCTTGCAAACAGGGGTTCATGTGATAAGCTTGGTACAATACTGTACCAGTAGTTTTTGTACGCAATAGCAGAACATGGATATACGCAACTAACAATCTTGGTTGGGCTTGGGCTTTGACGGGGCGCGTGGGCCAGGTTCGGAAGCGAGTCTAGTCTAGGCGGGATCACGCTCGAGACTGTTTCCATAGGTCCGAAGTAGCGGGAGCCTACCCTATTCGCGCAAGCTTCCGAAGTAGGCCCAATAAAATCGTTTTGCTACGTGATTTGCTGTCAGGTTCGAGTTGGCACAAAATATCATTGTTAAACGTGGCGTATTCACAGGTAACCACGTCGTACTTGTGCGTCAGCTTTTTGCGCGAATTGGGACGCTCGCAGTGACACGTGACAGCCAAGGGAGTGAAGCATACTCGCGCCACGAAAGCCCTGCAATCCGTGTCAAGCCCGCCTTCACTGCGCCAATGGCTGAGCTGGTGTGCCTTCCACCACTAACGACCTGGCGAACCAACGGCGAACACAGGCTGGCCTGTTGCACGAACGAGAGACACGGTCGGTCCATGAGCAATGGGGTTGACGGTTCCAGTTTGGCTTACCGCTGACTGGTTGCCGCGTGTTATCCCTACATATCCCACCCACCCCGTCCTACATTACTTCGTGAACCATCCAGTCTCTGCAGCAAGTGAACATTTTTGCGCTCTACTTCAGCTTGTCAGCCTGCTTGTTCCGTATAAGCCACAGGAAGTTGTGAGTCGCAGATATCGTAGAGTTCGAGCTCGAGTCGGAGACCTCCTGTTGTAGAACGTGCTTCTGGCGTATCTGCGAGCCCAATCGTCCGTTACTGCCAACCTAAACCCCTAAGTTTCTCAATACAATGGCCCCTGCAATTATGGCTTCCCAGGCATTGATAGCTCAGTGTATCGGCCTCGCTGCCGGTGCGATAGCCGTGAAGTCTATGATGGATAACGAGGCTTCCATGGCTCCTCCTATGAACCCCTGCGCAACTTGCCACGGCACGAGAAAGATCCCGTGCATGTGCAACAAGTAAGTTCCGCATCATCCGTATGAATCACGACTTAGAGTTGCTGGATGGGTCCCATCCCAGGTTGCTAACTTCCAAATAACCGTGTTTTTCCCTACAGATGGTCGGACGGAGATGTGGGTTGCGGTACATGCCACGGGTCTGGGCGGATGCTGTGCAGCAGCTGTGGAGGCTCCGGTAAAGGACGGCCAGCTCAAGCCCGCATCACAGTGCGGAGTTCGTCCAAATACTAGTACTGGCCACTCGGACCGTTTTAGGTCTCTTCCGTTACCCACTCTTGTTTTCCGTTGTGCATAGTCTTCACGTGTAAATTGTTTTGAACGAAAACGCTTCCGGAATTTGTAATGATTGCGATCGCGCCTAAAATATACAAGCATTTTAATCGTCCAAACCTGCAATAAGAAAGTAACTTGGGGTGAAGACGCCATTGGTCGAGGTTTGGATGTCTGAATGGCCATCACTGATTTTGACCCGTGCGAGTTATGAAGTTCGAACCGTTACAAGTTAGGAAGGTAGAATCAGTTTGGGGATCTTTGATCCGTGGAGCATGCAGGTTGATACCAAATCCCAAAATGCGTGAGATATGCAGATTACATGGTAGTAAGTATTGTCAGTAAGCGGCTTTGAACTGGTAATATGTATTCATCATTGTCACTCAGACAGTGCTATGGAAGGGATAGCTGGCTAGATAAGATCAGCAACTAAATCTGGACGGTGATTTGGTTTTACTGCTTTCTGTCCCGGTGCGCATGCAAGGACTCATTAGCTGGGTGGATAAAGGTTGATCTGAAAAGGTTCCAGCACAAAACTTGACACTCAATGCAAGCACTACCGCAACACGTGTATGTGTGCCTTCCAATGCCTGGCCATTGCACTAGAATTTTTTTGAAGCACAAAACTGGGACTGCACTGCAGGCTGGCGGAAGGTGATTCACATCCCGGGCGTTGTTCGTGCAAAAAGAGCTTTGAAGTCAGTGGTGACAGATCCGTCTCCCTCCTCACGTGACACAAGATCAAGAGCCTTGCTCTTTGCCTCATTGAAGAGAAGAGCCTGTGAACAGGAAAGAAGTTTGTAAATGGCCACAATGGAGGGAGGAGATAAGTTTGCTTAGGACGTGGCACAATGAAGGTTCATTGAGCACAGGGTTCACCAAAACGTTTGCTCCATGCTTTCCTAGATACTCCATTCTTGATGCACCTTGAATGTGTACATGTTATTGTTTCCGCACGAGCAAGAACAAGTCTGAGCTAGAAATGAAGAGTCACACATGGAAATGCAAATCAATGAAATTCTTGAAACGTGAAGGCACGAGTTTGCATACCTGCACGCAGACTTCAGCAACGTCTGCACGAGGCACGGTGCGAGTGTTGCTGGAGAGGAACTCGTCATCCTTGCCCACCAGCAGTTCGCGCTTCCCACCATCCTTATCCAAAAGTCCACCGGCTCTGGGAATGTACAATAGGGAACCAAAAGAATTAAGCATGAGTAGGGGGGTTGAAGGTGCGTCTCTTCAACTGACAGCAGACCACGAACATAAGAGAGGAAAGGCAGCTTATACAGTATTCACTGACCCTACTCTACTCACCTGATTATGGTGTACGGAATGCCTGAGTCAACAAGATACTGCTCTGCCTTGCGCTTCCAAATCTGCAGTGAGTCCAGGACAAGAGCGGTCAGACAACTGAATCTTAAGTGAAAAAAAAAACAGAAGATAGAAACAAAACAAAAAGCCACACAGAAGCATAACTTCAGTAGTGATGCATATCCACAGTGTTTATGCGGGTGAACTGACCAGTATGTTTCCATTGCCCAAAGAGTTAAGGGGGTGCTTTTCGTTGGTACCACCTGCAGACCCCACTATCACCACCTGCTTCACTCCTGCCCGCCTAGCTGCAGAATAGTAGGAAGAAATAACAAAAAGGAGGTCCGAATGTAAGCGGGCAAGGCTGAGCTCAGTGAAGCTCTAGAGTCCAGCAGCCTGCCGCTTGCTAAAGCCAACGCGATTACAATAAAACAGCTGGACAAATGAAGCGGCATATTGGACATGAAAGTTAGCAATGAGACCAAAAAGGCTAGTAGAATTACCGGCATCAATCTGTGCTTTCTGGCCGAGCCAATCAACCTGAAACAAAGTAAATACGACCATTAGTGAAGACGGAGACGTTCATATTGTGCATAAACCGGCACAAACAATGTCTTTGAGAATGCCACTGCAGCGGCGGTTTCACTTATGGGACATAGGTTTGGGTTCAGTCTCCACCCTCGCTGTTCCAAGGTCTCAACACTCTGGCCAATCCAGAACATTGTTCTGCATTCCTGTTCAACGCTTCGTTCTATTCGCAGTGTTCGACTAGACTACGGCTTACCTTCTCAGGTTCCCCTCCCTCTTCAAAATAGAACTCAGGCCGCTGACCGGAAGAAGGGTCAAAACCAGGTTTCATTTTCGGCACGGCGCTGGTAACAATGATGACCGCTTCGGCGCCGTCGAACGCAGAGGCGAAGGCCTTGTCCGTGGGGCGGACGATATCGGCAACGACGATGTCGGCGCCAGGCACGGCCTGTGCAAGCGTCTCCTTGCTCGCATCCGACCGCACCATGCCTCTCGCGTTAAACTCCGGCCGGCTTTGAAGCTTCTCCAGCACCAACCGGCCTGACGATGCCATGACAGGGATGACGTGGAGATACGGCGAAGTGGAAGGGAAATGCGGAGAGTGTACTTGGTGCATCGAAGTCGGTTATGACCGTGCACGAATGCAAACCGAATGAGCAACATCAGATGTGACCGTGCATCGAAGAAAATAGATAAAAAGGATATTATGACAAAAAAAAAGAGCACACACACACACACAAGACGAGGAACCTAAGAAACACAGCGGAATGCTCAACCTGTTCTGCCGCCAGCGCCAGTGACAAGGACAGTTCGCTTCCCCTGGCTGTCGGCCATGGCGGTCACCACCACGCGCGATCTAGTTGCTCCCTTCACGCGCAGTCTCGCAGCAGAGCCGGCAGCAGAGAACGATGCTTTGCGAGTCGACGGAAGGAAGGAGGTGGAAAGCGAGGCCTCAGATGCCTTGCTTAACAACGCTGCGGAGCGAATGTGGGACAGAGACGATACACTGGTGGAGACCCTGATTGATCCAAGTAGGATCTGAGAAGACATGATGGTTGTGCCGTGTGTGGGGAATGGCAGCACCTAAGGTTCAGCCTTGAGCAATGAACCAGGGAATCACCGACTGTCACTGAAGTGGATTGTCCTCGTTTTGTGGGTCGACGAATGCAAGGGAGAAATCTGGTCAGGTTGATTGGAGCTTGGCTGGGTCGCTCGAGGCCAGCAAAGCACAGGTGAGCAATACCCGAGGTTGGTTGGTAGCTTGGAGAGAGAACTAGGTCCTGTTTAGATAGAGCTGCACTTCAATATGGACAGGGCTGGAACCTGGTGCCAGTTCAAGGGATCAGCGAGAACGCAGGCCAGACTGTAATCACAGTGACGCAAGGAAGCGGAGTCAGGCGAGAGGGTCGGAGACTTGGCAGTCCTATAGCAGCCACTTACATAAGCTCCTCAATCTCGGGTCAAAATCGCTCTTTTAGTACGAATTATATCTTGGGGACACGTGGACTACGTTTGGCCCAAAACGTGAAGACCGTGTACGTGGCACGGGTAGCACAATACGTCATCATTCGCTCATCCAAATCTTTCGGATCCAAAATCATCCTTGCTGGACATCGGTCACCACGGTTCCGCAACGTGGACGCCAATGTGATTGAAACATTCTTTTGGTGCCTTACTAAATTTGATTTATTCAGTCTGAACAAAACAAGCCACAGACTTCCACCCATCACAAAATGCTTCCTATGTTTAGGCAGTCTATGCAGATAGCAATACCAGCCATAGCACCCAAACATTCTTCCATATACCACCTAGGCAGACACATGTTTGCAGACTTGGGTTCCAAGCTAATTATGACAAGCAGTAAATGCATACATCAACTGATTGTTGACCAACCGCTATAAATGTACGATACAGAAAGGATGTAATTTACAAAGACGAACGGATCTTCTCACCAGAGCGCCTGAAACCAAAAGCATTAGGACCGTCTTGGTGAATACCCTGAGTTCTACCTTGTTTCTTTGCTTGCTCAGCCCGTGAGGCTAGTCTGTACAGAGACTCGTGCACTTGATCAAAGACTGGGTTGCATGTTGCCCTCACTGCCTCCAGCCATGCCTGCACCTTCTTGTGGTTTCCTAGCACAGCTTCCTTGCCTGCAGCACCCAACAACTGGGACGGGAATGGATGTAGAATGGAATGCTTCAGGTGAGAGTGCTCAGCAGACGTGTCATGCCGAAAGAGAAGGTGGGTAGTGCTTTTGTAGAAGCTGGCATGCAAGCTCACCTCGAGCTGCATCAGCTCGCATGCAATGCTGAGATCAGCAATAGAGGGATGGATGTTGGCATCAAGGAACTGAGGTGAACCAGGCTTGGACGGGTCTGCTTGAACCAGCATCACTCGCTCCATGGCAGAGAGATGATTGCAGCTCATGGCGAGAAACGGCAGCAATATGCGTATCCGATGAGAGCCCAAACATGCTGCATATCACTTCATTCCACACAATACCAACTGCAAGACAACAAAAAATATACGTCAAGAGAGAAATACAACATCTAGAGAAGTGAGGCGCAAGACCAAGGGAAATTGCTGTTACCAGTGTGTCTCCGAGTGTTGTTGTGGTGCCAGTCCAAGAGAGCGTCAACTCGTGACCTCTTCTGCAGATTATGTGGATACCAATCTTCGTTGCAAGTGCGAGTTGCTGCAACGTACTTCATAATGGCATGGCTGTATGCATGAGGTGCATATAACGATGAAGGCATAAAGGACGCACGATGATTTCATGCCAATTGAAACTTGATGCACGCACGTCACAAGAAAGAGAGCAAATGCGCTTTTGCTGTAAAACGAAATGTGGATGAGAAGTGCAGAAGTCCTACGTCACCTCTCATATAGAGTGAATCCATCGTCTGTAATTGCAGGAATAAGTCCAAATGGGTTGACCTCTGCAATTTACACGAAAAAACATAGGAATTCCATAATCTAATTCCCGGCAAGGACAGCGACACCTGGCAACCTTGAAATGTAACGTACCTCCTCAAACAAAGCCAAAACAAGGAGCTGTCTCTGACTCGACTTAACCTACCTGTGTACGAGGGCGCACTATGCTCTCCCTTTATCAGGTTAAGCACTCTTGTTTCATGCTGGATGCTATTGAGTCTGTAACCACATGGCAGAGAGAGAACAGTGACGACAAAAAAAACCACCTATTAACGATACTGGGCGGCTCGGGGGGATTGGGGTAACGGACATACCGAAAGAATATCATAACAGCCCGACTGGGCTGTGAAATTGGATTCGCGTAAAGGACGATAGCCATGAATAACCTTTGTCAGACTGGGCTCTCTTATTCCGCCGTCAATTGAGAGAGAGAGATAAAAAGAATGAACTAGTGCGAATATTATCGGACGAGCAAGAAAGAAAGAAATATGGCACTGGAGCACCTCTTGTGCACGCGGATGTCATGCACTACCCATGCATGGGTGGGTCAAGTTTGTTCGTTTAGGGTTCAATTAGCGCGGTGTAATTCGTTAACTCAAGGTCAGGCACGGTCTCCGTTCTAACCGCTCTATACCAGCGCGCACCAGACTGTGAACCCTACCAGGTCAGTTGTGAACGAGTGAAAAATGATTCGACATTAGGAGCGCGTCGCACGAATGTTCCACAAACCTTTCTGTCAACGCCATCCGTCCGATGTAGCGCCAGTCATTCCCAGTGAAGCGAGAGGCACCACATGTACAGTACGATGAAACCAAGGAGATCTGGGAGGTTTGTCAGGCAGATTCATTCATCACCATTGGAAAGCAGGTCGCTTCGGAATAACTGTAGCCTTCCAAATGAGCCACGAGTTCCCGCCAAACCTGTGTAGTTGGTTCAAGCCAGCGCTATGGTTCGGTTTGGGCAGGCGCCCACGAAACACACACCTTTGATGGAGCCTCGGGGGGAATGAGGATGAACTCCGGCAGTTTTCTTGTAGTACAGTAGTTCAGCAGTGTCAGTGCACCCTCGCCAAGGTGATCCCGTCACTGAACTGAAGTATCCAGCAAATACCTAGTAGGCGTATGACTTCGCCGAATACCCTTTAGGTCGATCCGTGACGCCCCCACGACTCGTCCTGTTCTGCGTATCCCTTTTGGTGAATAACTCGCCAATCACGCTGCTAAGAGCAGCAATAGAGTAAAGGGAGCCTGCAGGAATCATGGCTAGCGCGGCAGAAAGTGAGGAGCCACAGGCGGCAACGCGTCGCGATCTGTATGAAGTGCTGGGGGTAGCACGAGAGGCGACGGACGACGAGATCAAGAGCGCGTATAAGAAGCTCGCCCTCAGGTACATTCAGATCCGCTCAGAATAGGGTTCTTCGAGTCTCTAGTAGCATGTCCCCACGCCGTCAGAAGATATTAGACGCTATGACTTCCTTTGCCACGAATAGGTTGCTCCTATTCGAATCCCCTCATCAGTTTCATCTCTCTTTCGACTCCTTTCCAGCGGTCGAAGCCTAAATCCGGTGAAAAGTCTCCGAGTTAAGAATCTGGCTCGTGCACTGCACTCCCGATTTGTTGCTTACGACACAGGTTCCATCCTGACAAGAACGCCAATGATCCGGAAGCGACAGACAAGTTTAAAGAGGTCGCTTTTGCCTACAGCATTCTATCCGATCCTGACAAGCGCCACCAGTACACGATCAGAGGCTTCGACGTACGCACACTTGGTTGACTCTGTTTCATAAAACGAATTACTGTCATACGTGCTGGTTCATGTACGAGAAATGGCGTTGCATCCGCAGATTCCTTTTCCCGCGCAATCTCGTTGTTCCTGCTTACCAGCAACACTCCCCACTTTGACGCATGGCTGTCACATGACCGCATTCACTTTCATGCCTTCTTCTTCTTCCACTCCCTCTCACTGCGTAATTCTGCGTATCTCGGTGTCATGCGCGTCTTCTGTCCGTCGCACGCCATTCTCCGTCGCATGGTGTCGCTCGTGCGACTGCTGCGTGTTCCTGGTTGGTTTCAGGCGGTGAACATGGAGGACATGGACGACTCGCTTGATCTGTCGGGACTAAGTACCTTCAACACGGCCATGGTCGCGCTCTTCAGGTACGCCGGTACACGATTACAGCTCACATTGCAGTCCAATTTAGGTTTTAGATGTTGAATCTTTCTATGGATAAGGAAGTTACATTCAGGTTGAGTCCCGATGCAAACTCTCCCTCCTCCCGTATTCTTCTCCTTTCGTCGCCCTCCCCTGACCCCTTGACCTACTTTCCCGTCCCGCTTTTATGAAGGAGCTGTCTTTTACAATTACCATCACCCCGTCCTCCCTTCCCTCCCGCGATCACAGCAAGTTAGGCGTGCCAATAAAGACGTCAGTGTCGCAGGTCGTGCTGGAGGAGGCTTTAAGCGGGACTGTCACTCCACGCACGCTGCCTCTGGGCGGATCGATCAGTGACAGGGTGAGCAGCTGCTGCTACCTCGTCCTGTTGATCCACTGATAGATACAACCCAATTCATCCGGGTTTTAGTGTCCTCCATTGTGTCACCCTCTTCACGCTCTCCTCCGCCGTTCCCCACCTCTCCTCTCTCCACTCATCTCTCTCACACTCACCTCTCATTTCATGACTCTCGCCACTTTTCCCCCTCCTCTCTCAAACCTTCGGGCCCCATACCCCTTGAAACTTCTCTCGTCTCCCTCTCGTGATCTGGAGCGCAGGTGGAGAAGCAGAAGGCGCATTTCTACAGTGTGACGCTGACGGAAGAGCAGGCCAAGAGTGGCCTTGTTGTCAGAGCCACGTCGTCCGCATCAGGCAAATTCAAGGTCAGCATGAGTGCAGCGCGCACCATGATGGTGTGCTATGAGATTCTCGTGAGATGCCATGGTATGCCGTTTATGTGCCATGATAGGCCATGATTTGCCATGCCTGCGCATGCCATGCCATGGTGTTATGTGATCGTTCTCGCTGTGCTGCCGTTAGTGCTGATAGAAAGAAGCAGACTCTCCTCCCACAGCAACATCTTGCTGCACATCATGCTTCTCATGACCCCCCTCCTCTCCTCTGTACCACCATCAATGCCATCTCCTCATTGCATTCATGTCTTTGTTTGCCTTCCCCAGCTACTATACTTTGACTGGCGATCAGAGACAGGAGGGCTGGACCTATCCATGCAGGTGAGACTGCTGCACATGGCAATTGCTAAGAACGTGCTAACTTTTGCTAGTCGGCTTCGCTTCCGTCCCTTATCCTTAGCTTCCCAATCCATCACCTCCCCGCACCCTCTTCCCTCTCCCGGTTATCACCAAATTCCATCCATTCTTTCACAAATGTACATGCACAACCACACCCCGCTGCATTGAGCCCCATTCGATGTCCAGCAACCGCCCCCTCCCCATCTCCTCCCGTACCCTCACGTTCATCACCACCCCATGCTGCCCATGTGTACAGGAGAGCAGCATCAAGTACGGCAAGTCGTCACAAGCATGCCTCTTCTTCCTCGGCTTCCAGTGCTACCGCTACGACCCCACTGCCAGTGCTGTACGCCCCACCCTCCTGTCTCGGCTTTCCACGCTCCTCACGTTAGACCATGCCATTCGTTTTGTGTGTGCATGGTTGATCGTGTACAGTTTATGCACATAGATTCGTAAACCTGGCTCTCTCTTTGCCTATCTGCCACCCGTCCTTCTGCCCCCCCCTCCCATTCTTTCCACTCTCACACTCCTCCGTACTCGACCCCTTTCCTCCCTCTTGCCCCCAATTTCCTCCGATACCCCTGTTCCCACAATACCCCCCCTCCATACATCGCTGCTCTGACGATGCCCTTCCCGTCCCCTCTCAGTTGGAGATGGCGCGAGACCCTGAGACGTCTCTCTTTTACCGCCTGGATGGCCTGTCCAAGTGCGAGGTGAACGAGCTCAAGGACGGCACACATGTCTTCGCTGTCTACGGTGCGTGCCCTGCCCACACGGTGTAGCACACCTTTGCTCTCCTCGTCAGATTTGACTGGCAGCACCTGTACCTCCCTCTTCCATGCCCTCATACCACCTCCCTCCTCAATCGTTACTCTCTTCTTCTCCCTCATGCCTCCTCCCTTCACTCTCTCATGTGTACAGGAACTGTCTTTCGCATGCGAGCTTGATATTCCATAGAAACCACAGGTGCCACTAAAGTTATGGCTAGGGAGGCCCAACTCCTCTAATACCCATCATCCTCGTTCCACACCCCTTGCCCTCCCCACCTCCCCCACTCCCCCCACCCAACCCCCCTGCCTCTTCTTTCCCTCAATTCCCCCCACGGTGCCCACATGTGCAGGTGACAATTTCCTCAAGGGCACGTCGTACACGATAGAGGCGGTGCCAGTGCAGGCGGACTCGCCAGCAGTGGCGGAGCTGCGGCGCGTGGAGGCGGAGCTGGTGGGCAAGAAGGAGCGCGTGCGCAAGTTCGAAAAGGAGTTCCGTGATGTCAGTGCCACAGGGGGGTGTGGGGGGGAGGGGGGGGATTGTGGGGCGCCGGATTGCGTGACGGGGTGGGGTGCCAGACAGAACGATGGGTTGGTGGTGTGATGTTGGGGTTTTGTTGAGTGGTGGATGGGTGAAAAAGGGAGTTGGGAAATGCAGCTCGGCAGCATCGTGCTTGGCTATATCTCTCTCTTCTTTCCCTGTCATTCAACAAATATATTCTTTCCTCTCAGCTCATCTTGGCTTCACCACTGTATTCATGGCTCTGCTCCTCCCTGCCAACACTCCACCCAACTCCAACTCGGCATTTCCACATCATCCTTCTCATGCATGTGTATACTCTCCTCTCCTCCTCACCACTGCAGGCTGTGGCAAAATACGTGGAAGTGGTAACACAGTACAACACAGAGAAGGAGGAAGTAGATGACCTATTATCCATGCGCTTTGCCACTATGGAGATGTTCACTGCTGCCAACATGGGAGTGGGCCCTGTTGCCGACCCCCGCAACCCCTCTGCTTCATCCCCTTCTGCAAACGGCCGGCCGGGGCCGTCTTTCTCTGGGTCTGACGATCAGCAGTTGCAACAGCAAACCAGCCGTTCCAAATCCAAAAAGTGGTTTCCTTCGTTCCTCAAGACCTCGTGATGTTGACCAGTGCTCCTCCGGCGTTGAGATCTTAGACATAGGAGTGTTGGATGTGGGTAGGAGGCCTGGAGATTTTAGTGGTAGGTTCAGGTCTGGTTCAGTCAGGTATTATGTATGTAGTGCAATACCACGCACGCAGGTTTAGTGCAGCTCCACTTCCTAGGTCGGTTTAGTTGGCTTTCTAGCTTGCATGTGCTATATGTGTATTCGATGAATCGATGGTACCATATCTGTTAACGACTGCATTTGCAATGCTTCACGAATCACTACAGCCAAAGCTACCGTAGAGTGTGACCTAGATGTACTCAAATCAGAATACCAAGAATGGTGTGTCACGAAACTAAGGCAGACTCGCAAGAAACAATATGGTATGAGCAAGCATGGCTTCAGGCGTATTCTTGAAAGTTAGCATGGCCCGTTGCTTGTGCGTGTTGCACAGCTTCCTGCATGGGACACATCGGGCAGAGAGTCACAGAACATAATGGTCAAGTTTTAGCACACAACTCATGGAGAGATGAAAAATGAGTGCATGGATGATTGGTTGATGACTGCATAATTCGTGAGACGTGTAAGATGCACCCACACATTGATGAATAGTTGGCCAGAGAAGAAGAAGCACAAAAAGAGATGCAAGCATCTAGCGGAACTATGTGTTGTGCACAACTGGGATGGGAAGAGGGCAATTAGCCATACACTGTCTCACCTTCTGTCCCACCAGCCCTTGCTGGCACACCACACAGCGAAGTGCAAAACGTGCCGTGTCCGTAAAGCTCTTGGCCCTGCACACATGTACAAACAGACCCATACATGGTCAGAGACACGAATCTTGAGTGACAGCCATCTCTAGGAGATTTCTCAGCAATAACGCGCAGCCTCCCCAGCCCAGGCGTGGCCGTATTCTCCCGGATAAAACACCCTAGGGTATTATGAAAACCACTGGGAAAAAATGGGGGGGGTCTCCTCAAAGGAAAATCCTGCATAATACCCGGGTCTTATTATATGGTATATTTTTTATCAAGCAGAAAAGATGTGAAACAAAATCAGGGGGTCTGACTTCACTTCAAGATTGTTGATCAGTGCCGCAAAACCGAGTATACGAGGATAACGTGACTGCCCACTGGAATCTGCCACGTGGCAAATTCCAGTGGGCAATTCTGGCACTTGATAGGGTGAAAACAAAGCCAATTGTGTGGCGAGGGTTCATGCAACCGCCGAGGCCGGAATCGCGCACGGTGGTGCGTTGTTACTGTACCAGTCAGTTCTTGACTGGTTTGGTCACGTGTCTATGCCTCATGTGAGAAGGTGATTTTCACCTCTTGGGCCACCGCCAGCGTGGCGACAGCGAGATTGTGGGAGGGGGGAAATCTCGGCAGATTCTACGGTACGGTAAGTGAAAGTACACGCGAATTTTCATCTAGGGAGCAATCCTCGCGATATCCCCCCGTAAGGAATCAAACTCAATAACAGCTATAATAGGAATCTATAAGAAAAGGGGGGTGTTATAGAGAATCACCCCAAAAGGGGGGGTATAGTACTAACGGGGTCGGATATAACACCCACCCTGTATTAGCTACCCGGGGGTGTACAATTACGGGGGGGTGTTTTATCCGGGAGAATACGGTACCTGTGGGCGGCGTCCACCAGGGCCTCTGCACTGCGGCGCACCGCGGGAGGGAGGGGATGCGCTGCAGTGGCCGGGAAGATGGTCTGATCAAAGTCCTCTGGCGCCCCCTCACACGGGGAGAGCTGCCGGGAGGAGGGGGGGCGGGTGGGGGATGGATGGTATGGGAGGAGGACGGACGCGGGAAGGAGAGGAGTAAGAAGCTGCTTCGAAAGAATGGGAACAACGACTAGCGAGATGTGTGTTAGTGGAGTCATGGTCTGCATGTGAGTGCATCTTATGTGTATGGCATGTGCACAGCATATGCACGGCATAAGGACCACAGCAGCGTACCGCAAGGGCATCGTAGTGAATGCCATCGTATATGAGCATGATGGTCTCGCTGTACGGCTTGTCCTGGCACCAACACACAGGTCGGGACATGGGGTGTGAAGCGTGGGGCAGGGGACAGGCAAAATACATAGAATGAAGACTGTGGCGATTAGAAGCGAAACGGGGGGAATATGAGGCAGGAGAAACGAGACGGAATTCTCAGACACCTAAAGACAAGAATCGTGACTATGTGCCAGCGATTTCAAAAGTATCTCCCGAGGACAGACACATACATGTGGTGTGTGTTGCTCATCCACTCACCTGCCCGTACACGTCGCATCGCTTTGTTTGGATGTCAAAAGCGGCAATCTTCTTGGCGAAATGATCGGAAAGGATGGCTAGCTCGATGCCACCTGATGGTGCCATGGCAGGCACACATGCACAGCACATGTGGGATGAGGTGGGACAAGACCGAATCGGAACATGTTGAGCAAGCTGTCCGAATATGGTCAAACATGGTTAGATATGGTTAGCAACAGGCAAACACACCGCGGCAAGATAAGGAGCACAGCTCTTACAAATCTGTCCTCCCCATCCCCCCTGAACCCCCTCCCCCCCCGTTTTACCCCAACCCATTGTTCCCCCATACCACCCCTCCTACACCAAACGCTCTCCTCTCGCCTCCACATCTCACCCCACCTCTGCCCCCCCCTCCGTGCAACCCAGCAGCACAGCACGCACCGCCCCAGGAGTCAGCGCGGGCGATCCACTGGCAGTAGGCGGCGTTGGGCTTGTCCAGCACGGCCTCTGTGAAGCGCTGCTCGTCCCCCGCCACCACGCGCGCAATCACCTACGCGGAGGAGAAACAGCGCACAGGGGAGGATTGATTAGCAACTTGGCACGCGCATCTGCATGCACATTCACATGTCCATGCAGCCCGGCACATGGACAAGCACATGTGAACATGTCGCAGTGGCACCACGCCATACCTGTCGCAGCTGCGCCCCCTTGTCTCGACTGCGCTCCGTCACATACCTGCATGCATGCACGGGTCAGCACCCCACGCAGGTGCCAAAGATGCGTTAGGATGGATGCCGCGATATTGGATGATGCGATATTGGATGATGCGATAGTGGATGATGCGATAGTGGATGAGGAAAACCAACAGAACGAGGTCTAGAGATGGTGACGCCAACTTCCAGGAAGGAAAGGAAACGTAGAGACGGTACAGACGGCCGGCCTGCGCGGTGGCGGCTATGGCGCGCGGCGGCGGTGCTCACCCGACGGCGTTGAAGAGACAGCTGTTGTCGGCGTCCATCACGCGCCGCACCACCACGCCCTGCTCCTCCATCGCCGCCGCCTGCTGCGCTGCTCTCCTCGCACGCGGCTCTGATTACGTGGCGACCGCCGTACGCGTGCCGGCGGGTTGACCAAGCGGGTCCTGATTCACAATTATCCTGCGCTGTTTCTCTTGGCGGCGACCTTCTGGATCGTCGCTGGCCGGGACGTTCGCTGCGATGGACACGTGGCGGATTGAAGACCACTCGCGGCAGACCAAGTGGGTGACACGCAACGGGCAGAGATTCGAGGACAGCGGAGTAAATATCTGACAGATTTCAGAAGACCTGCTTAGTTTAGGCGACGAAACTTTTATGCGAGTGTCGTGAATGATCATCGAATCGGATGGACTCGATTTGTCAGATGAAGCGATTGAGACGAGAGCGACTTGGTCCCATCTACCAGTGCGCGAAAGCCAGGCTTGGTTTTCCGAACTACACTTGACGTAATGTTACGAGCTGCATTTCTTGTAGACACATCGAATAAAAGATGGCACCCAAAACAGCCAGTATCCACCAGATCTCCCACAGAGAATTTTGCTCAATTCCGCGGAAGCGCGGTTTGATTTATTTTTGCCACGTGGCGAGCCTATGATCGCGTGAACCGCGATCTGTTTTATTGTTATCACAAACTTCAAGAGAAATTTAGTTAAGTTCTGTACTGCGCTGCCCGTGGGCAAAAATAGAACCCCTATGGGTAAGGCATGCGTTAGGGATGCATCAACCCTAAACACCTAGAGGCAAGGTGTTTAGGGTTGATGCCTCCCTAACGCATGCCAGGCCCGAATGGGTTTTATTTTTGCCCGCGGGCAGCGCAGTACAGAACTTAACTAAATTTCTCTAGAAGTCTGTGGTAACAATAAAACAGATCGCGGCTCACGCAATCGAAGGCACGCCACGTAGCGATAATAAAACGAACCGCGACTCCGCGGAATTGAGCAAAACTCTCTCTCCCACATTGCAGTTATGCCCCCGCGCATTGCTTCCGCCAAGCCCCTCCTATTTCCCCCTCACTCGTAGCGGTTGTTGCGCCATCGAGCACTATCCACTCCGCGCCCTCGATATCTCCGTCCGCGCCCCACCCTATCCACCAACTACCAACCCAGCAACCCACCACCACTGCTATCTCAACCAACGAACCAACCAACCAACGCCCAGTCTCTAGCTGTTTTCGTCCCAACTCCCAAGTCCCGACCCGACGCGCATCACCTCGCCGCGCTATCGCCCATATCACTCCCACCTGCTCCAAGCACGGCTGCCTGCGAGTCTTGATCCTCGATCCAGGGGGATGCGGCGCGGATGAGTCATTGCGTATCTATTGCGCGTCGCTAGTTAGATCCTTCTTCATTCCTCCATTCCTTCACCCCTCACTCCTCCATTCCTCCACGCATTCAATGCGCGCGGGACCAACGCGAGAGAGGCGCCTTGGAGCACGCCCCGACGGCTTCGAGGGCTTCGAATGGACGCTGCCGGACCGCCACACGCTCCGAGCCGCCTCCGCGGCCGCCAGCGGCGCCATCAGCGGCGGTAGCAGCAGCGGGGGGAGCGTCGGCGGCATCTTCTCCCGCGGCGGAGGTCAGTCGGGAGGGCCTCCCGTGGGGCGCAAGGGCAGCGCGGGTAGCGGCGGGATCGGCGGCGGATCGTCGTCACCTCGGTGCTCGATCTGCTCGTTACTATGCTGCACGTGCATGCTTGTCGCATCGGCAGTTATTCTCCTCACGCTGCTGCTTGCATACGCGCATCCGCGCCTGCCGTCGAACTTGCGCCTGCACCAGCAGCCCCGCGCCGCCCACCGCCACGCGCGGCAGGCGCAGCTCTTGCGCGGAGCATCGATTGGCGCAGGGGGCATCGCGTCGCGGCTACGCTCCGCCGTAGTGGGCGTGGATCTATCCGCGGACGAGAGCGTGTGGGCGTCGGGGGGCGGTATTGTCGGGGAGTTGGGGAGCGCGCGGAAGGAGCGGTCGCAGCGGCGGAACCAGATCCAAGGGGGGAAGATGGGGAAGAGCGCAGCAATGGGGAAGCAGCAGCGGCGGGCAGGCTTTGATGACGGTTACGATGGGTTAGCTAAGCGGACATTCGATCGGACGGGCGGAAAACGCGGTGGGTGGCAGCGGCGCGGGGAGGGGGTCCACGCGGATGCGGAGGGAATGGCGGAGGAGGCGGAAGAGGCGGAAGAGCTAGACGAGGTGGAAAAAGGGATGCATTTGGGGGAACACCGCGGAGGTGGGGCTAATCGGGGGAGCGCATCCGCGCGCGCATCAGATGGGGAGTGGAAGCGAGGAAGCGGAAGCGGAAGGGCCGCTGGTGGTAAGACCGCGAGAGGCGGGACTGACGATGATGATAATGAGGAGGAGGAGGAGAAGGAGGAGGAGGAGAAGGAGGAGGATGAGGAAAATAAGGAGACGCGTGGAGGGGGCGGAGTGGTTGCGAACGAGGCGGAAGCCGCGGAAGGAGATGCGGGGGAGGTGCATGCGGGGGGAGAGAGGGGAAGGGGAGAAGGTGACAATAACGAGGATGATGCTGTCAGTGTTGCCGGGCGTGATAGTAACGAGGTCAACAGCGCCAGTGGTGGTGCGGGTGTACGGAAGGGGTGGGGATATAATAGCGAGGTAGGGAGGCGGAGTGGGAAGGGGAAGGGGAGACGAGGCAGGCGCGGCGTGGGGAGGGGGGAACATGACGTGGACATTCGGCGGAAGGTAAGCAGGCGGTATGTGGATGATGGAGGGGAGGGGGAGGAGGAGGGGGAAGAGGCGGAGGAGGAGGAAGCGGAGGAGGGGGAGGTTCATGGGGGGAAGCGTGGTAAGGCCCGCGCTGTGGTGCGTGGGGAGGGGGAAGATGAAGAGGAGGAGGTGGAGGAGGAGGAGGGGGCTGTGGGGGGGAGGAAAACACGGAAGGAGGGGAAGAGAAGATGGGATAAGGAAGGGAAGGGTGCACGGATCAGTGCAAGGAGAGAAGCAAAGGAGGAAGAGGAAGAGAAGGACCGTTCTGACTCAGATGCTGACGTGGACGGTCTGGATGCGATCCTGAAGGTGCTGGAGGAGAAGGCGAGAAAGCGGAAGGCACGGGGGAAGGGGGGACGTGGCGGGGAGGTGGGGAAGAGTGAGCGCCAGGCGCGGAGGGGGAAGGGGTCCATCCGACGGGCAAGTGAGACAGAGGGAGATGAGGCGGAGGAAGAGGAGCAGAGGAAGGTAAAAGGGAAAGGGAGGAGGAAGGGGAAGGGAGAGGATGGGGAGGACGAGGGGGAGGAGGAGGACGGGGAGGGAGAGAGTGAAGGTGGAGATGGGGATGAGAGGATGCAGCATGGTTCTGCGGACTTGAAACAAGGAAAGGGGAGAAAGACGGGGAGGGGAGGTCATGGTGCAGCAGGAGAGGCAATCGAGGCAGCAGAGGATGAGGACCAGGCATTTGGGAAAACGGCAGGGGCACGATCAGTGGACGGGCAAGGCGCAGAGGCAGGGGTTGGGGCGCAGGTGAAGGGGCGCCGGCAGCAGCAGGGGCAGGGGGGGCAGGTTGCAGGGGAAGGGGCGGTGGGGGAAAAGGGGAAGCACGAGCTGGATTCGCTATTGGAGGGGATGGGGATGGCCGGGGGGGAGGACGGCGGTACTGCTGCGCTGCATGGGGAATCACGCGAGGCCGATGCTATAAGTGCTGCCGGTGGTGTTGGTGGTGACAGTGGTGTCGGTGATTCTGCTGGTTTTGGCACATCAAGTTCTGGTACTGCTGCGACTGACGCTGGTGGGGAAACGGCTGGTAGCAGGAGCAGCAGCAGCAGTGGTGCTGACAGTGCTAGTACGGCTACAGGTGCTTCTGCTGCTGCTGCTGATAATGCTGATGGGGATGATGATGATGGTGATGATGATGCTTCGGGTGCTGGTGCCGCTGATGGGGCTGCTGTTGTTCATCTAACAGCTTCCGGTGGTAGCATTAGCAGCAGCAGTGGGTCTGACTTGCAGGGAGTGAATCGTGGCCGAGAAGAGGGTGACGGAAGAGATGGGGCGAGGGATGGGGAGAGTGAGAGAGAGGGGTACAGCAGACAGCAGAAGGTGAGTGGGGATGAGAGGGAAGGTGGAGGGGTAGGGGAAGGGGGAGCTAAGGAAAGGGCGGATAGTTTGGGGGAGGGTGGTGGAAACGGGGAGGCAGCAGCGAATGGGGTATCGGGGGAGGGAAGAATAGGTGAGAGCGCAGCAGGGTATGGTGCAGAAGGGGAGGGGCGAAGAGGCTTTGGGGAAAGAGTGGAAGGAGAGAGAGATGTGGAAGGAGGAGACAGCAGAGGGGAGGATCGATCGAGGACAGCCAGAGGAGCGGAGGAAGGAATGGAAGAGGGCACAGGGAATGCTGATGGATTGGTTGCTGCTGGCCGGACAGAACAGGTGGATCAGGAGGGAATTAGAGAACGAGCAGGAGGGACCGATGGAACAGCAGGAACAGAGGGGAGAGGGGTAGGCATGGATAGTACAGGTGCTGCTGCTGGGGAGGGAGGCCTAGGGGATGAGACAGAGCGGCCGCAAGAGGAGGCGCTGAGGGGGAGTGACAGGGAGAGGGCCTATGCGATGGGTCTGCTTTCAAACAGGGTGGAGCAGAGGGATAGCAGGGAGGGCGGAAGGGAGGAGGGTCACATGCAAGAGGGCTTTGAGGGAAGAGGAGCTGGAAACAGGGGAGTGGAGGAGGGGGTGGGAAGTGGAGGTGAGGGAGGGGGAGGTAGGGGTGGTGGGAGGGAGACTGAGAACCCTGCACAATCTTTCTACGAGCAGCAGATGCTGAGGGAGCAGGAGGATGCTGCTCACAGGATGGGGTACAATGGCGAGAGGGAAGCAGGGGGGCGGGAAGCAGGGGGGCGGGAAGCAGAGGGGCGGGAAGCAGAGGGGCGGGAGACAGATGGCACTGCAGCAAGCAAGGACATGCAGCAGACTGGAGGGGTAGGAGCAGGGGGTGGCGGGGGTCGTGGCGAGGAGGAGGAGGACGAGGGGGATGAGGGGCTAGGGGTGGTGGTGCAGGCTGGGGTGGATGGCGAGGGTCAGGGGCAGGGCGCTCTGAGGGCGCTGCTGGCAGAGAGTTCAGAGGGAGATGCAAGTGACGGGTCAGCAGCAGGCGCACTGCATCATCATCAACAACAGTACCGTAACTTTCATGTTTATGCTGCCACCATAGCACATGGTTAAGGGTTACCGTATATTAGTATTGGTAGTCCCATTCGGATTTCCTGACTTCTGCACACAGTACAAGCATTCCGTTGCATGGATTATCTATTGCTGGTTTACTACACTATCAAGATTTCCACCCATTCTCTTCTGGACTTGTTGGCTGGCTTGATGCGTTGTGTACTTCACCCCGGGGTACAGTGAAAAGCTTAGGTTGCATGGGTTCAGCATACAGTACCTCCTACTGCCCGCATAGAGATAGCACAAAGAAAGAGTTCAGACAGACTTTCTTGTCAAGCAAATACCAGTTGATCAGGTCAGGCTCGGTTTAGCAGGGTGGCAATGGTGTGGTGGGGCAAGCCAGGCCACAAGACGGATCAGTTCAGGTCACTGCTATGAAAAAAACATACGTAGAACCGAAGCTGTGTGGATGGGAAGGACAACCACCACAGCATCATCACCACCATTCTGCACTGCAACATCACCATGTGCCTGTGCCACTGATTACCAAGTTACCGCACGGCTGCACTGGGATGCACTTGCTGCCTGCAACAAAAGGAGTCACAAAGCAACATGTCCCACCCACCCCACCCCACTCTTCCCACCACCGGTTTTCCCTCCTCTTCCCTCTAAGCTGTTAATTACCACTGTTGTGCCGGTGCAGATTGGCCATTTCCGCCTCTCCCCTCCCCTCCTCTTCCCCCGGGTCCTCATCATCTCCCTGTTCCTGCTCCACCATCTTCTGATACAGACTGTAGATCCGCCGCTGCTTGATCCACGTCACCACCCACACCACTGACAGCACCACAATCAGCACGCCGCCCAGCGCCATCAGGAACACATACTGCCAGCTGAGCATATCAGCAGAGATAACGAAAATGGTCTGCTCGCATGGGCCAGCAGTGACGGGCGCAGGCAGCTTGGCGGCGCCGGGGAGCGCGTCGTTGCAGCGCTTGGGGTGGCGCCAGCGGTGCGAGGAGTTGTGGCGGCCCTGCGCGTCCGTGCATGAGTCCTGAATGGTCTCGTAGTCAGCTTCCGTGCACGGCTGGCATGGGATGTCCTGAGGAAGTGGCAGCTGCGCGTTCGCCTGGCATGTCTGTTAGTTGTGGTGGGAGAGGAGATGCGGCGAGCGGGAAGAGGAGGGGTGATGAAACCGCGTAAACTGTAGATCCGAGACCCAAAAGTGGATAAACGTCGAAATCACAGAGACAGAAGATGATCACAGGCCGGGGGGTGAGTGGAGGGGTGGGAGGGGGTAGCGGAGCAGACGCAAAACCAGGGAAACAAACAACGAAGTGAATCCCAGGAGAGTGAAGCCCAGGAGAGTGAAGCCCAAGAGAGTGAGTGAGAGGAGTGAGTGATGGCGCACGCACCTTGGGCAGCTTGTACTTGTACGTGGCATACTTGTTATCCACACAGCCCGACACCTCCACGAGCTCATAGTCATCCATGGTGCACATGGGGCATGCATGCGCCGTGTACCACACCATTTCCATCACACATGCACTCTCGTCGCCGATGGGCAGCACCACGCCCCCGCGCACCACCCAGCTGGGGAAGGAGAGGCTCGGATCCACTGCTGCCGCCTTGCCCTTGTCCGTCCATGCCTCCGGGGCGCCGTAGCCTTGGGGGTGGGGAGGGGAGAGGGGAGTGGGGAGAGGGGAGAGGGGAGAGGGGAGAGAGGAGAGGGGAGAGGCGCAGGAGTTGACAGAGAAGGGGTGAGGCAGTAAAAGGTTAATGAAGTCTGGTTGATAGCCTTATCTCCAGAACATTAATCTACCAGCCAGACCGGTACAATCAATCCCTCTCACAGCCACAGAAATCCCACAGATGGCACCCCCAGCACCGCACCCCCAGCACCGCACCCCCAGCACCGCACCCCCAGCACAGCACCCTCCGCATGGCATTCCCCGCACAGCACGCACCAGCGTCAGGGTCGCAGATGAAGGAGATGTTGGTGGCGCGCAGCATGCTGTTGCCCGCACACAGCGACCCCTCCAGGGACATCACAAACCCCCTGCGCTCCAGCGCCGGGTGCGCCCCCAGCGGGTGCAGCGATATGCTGTCACCCAGACTCACCGCCCTGCGCCGAGGGCCTTCCAGGGGTGACCTTGGGTTGACCTGTGGAGGGGGACAGAGATTGGGGGGAAATGAGGAGGGAGGGGGGGGGAGTGGAGGGAGATGAAAGAGGGGGGGGGGGGGAAGATGTTGTGGAAAACGAAAGGCGGGGGCGAGAAATCGGGGAGGGGGACTGGGGTGACAGAGGGGCAGGAGAGAAACCCATTTCACCCAGCAGCCCACACCATCACGAATCAAAACCTTCCATTCGTCCAGCCATCGCTCTTACCCGGCAGGCATATGTATTAAGGGAGCCTCCTCGGGGGGCGTAGCAGGTGGCATTGGTCATGTCGCGAGTGCACACGCTCACATAGTACAGCGACCGCTGCTCCCTATCCGGAGCCGTAGGGTCGTCATATATCGGCCCAAACATTTGGTCCGGGTGCAGGCGCGCGAGCGGAGAGAGGTCGAAGACGGTGAGGCGCGAGGAGTTGAATGCGGTGGGAGGCGGTGTGTAGTGGCAGAAGGAGGTGGGGATGTAGACGTCTCCCACGGTGCACTCACTGCTGCCCTCCGCTGATGACGTGCCCTCGCCACATGGCTCACATGACTCCTCTGTGCCCTGCCATGGTACCATGGCATAGGGAATGGGCGACATGTGATGGGTGATGGGTGATGTGGGATGTGTGACGTGTGATGTGAGTCGAGAGGGGGCACACGAGAGGCTGGTGCAAAGAGTTTGACAGAAGACAGAACGGGGAGATGAAGCGGGTTTGGTTGCCACTGGCGGTGTGCAGCGCCAGGAACCAGCGACACAGTAAGCACCCCAGGGATCCCACCACTCGCCCGCCACCCCGCACGCACATAAGAGGCCTCGTTGAAGGTGTTGGCAGGGCACTTGGTGCAGTTGTTGGTGCCGCCCTTGCCGTACGTCCCAGGCGGGCATGGCTCCCACCACAGCCCTGACGGTGCCAGGTGTGCTCCCTCTGGCACCTCCTGGCAGCTGGACGCCCCTCCCTGCGCCACGCCTATCACCTGGCAGGGAGGCGTGAGGGGGGAAGAGGGGAGGACGGGGGATGGGGGCAGGAGATGCAGGTCGGGATTGATGTGTGCTGGAAGACATGTCGGGAGGGGTGAGGAGGAGAGAGGAGAAGAGGGGAGGGGAGGGGAGGGGAGGGGAGGGGAGGGGAGGGGAGGGGAGGGGAGGGGAGGGGAGGGGAGAGGAGGGGAGGGGAGAAAAGAGAATGGGAGGGAATAAAAGAGAGGGGAAGAGAAGAGAAAGGAGGGCAAACCAAGGCAAGGGAACGCGACGCACTGTGAGGTTGTGAATGACTGCAGAGTCCCTGTCTGCATGCGTGGTGGCCTTGAGCTTCTCCCACATCCACATGAGCTGGTGCTGCCCCGCATCCATGTCCCACATCACCGTCTGCATCTCCGTGGGCTTCAGCGGTATCTGCTTATAGGCACACGCATGCACATGCACACAGGGACGCACATGCACACATGCACACACAGGCATGCACATGCACACAAAGACACACATGCATGCACATGCACTCATGCGCACAGAAAGACGCACATGCATGCACATGCACTCATGCGCACACAAAGACGCACATGCATGCACATGCACTCATGCGCACACAAAGACGCACATGCATGCACATGCACTCATGCGCACACAAAGACGCACATGCATGCACATGCACTCATGCGCACACAAAGACGCACATGCATGCACATGCACTCATGCGCACACAAAGACGCACATGCATGCACATGCACTCATGCGCACACAAAGACGCACATGCACGCACATGCACTCATGTGCACACAAAGACGCACATGCATGCACATGCACTCATGCGCACACAAAGACGCACATGCATGCACATGCACTCATGCGCACACAAAGACGCACATGCACGCACATGCACTCATGTGCACACAAAGACGCACATGCATGCACATGCACTCATGCGCACACAAAGACGCACATGCATGCACATGCACTCATGCGCACACAAAGACGCACATGCATGCACATGCACTCATGCGCACACAAAGACGCACATGCATGCACATGCACTCATGCGCACACAAAGACGCACATGCACGCACATGCAAACCGACATAAAGAACAGGGAAAAGTTTGGGACACCGAAGCAGAAGGAAAGGGAACAAAGAAACGCATCAGCGTTTTGCTAGTCAAAACACCACAACTTCCCCCCGTCCACCCGCCACCTTTCCCTCACCAATCTCTCCCCCCCATCAACTCCCCCCCCGCATGCCCCTAACACACACGCACCTGGATAGTCTCCACCTCCATGCCATCAATAAAGAACTTGAGAGCACGCTGGTCCTGGGAGCCCTCAGGAATATCCACGGTGTAATTCGCCATGACCTGCCCGTCCACCTCGAGAGTCACATTCAGCGCCAGCCACACGCGCACCGTGGCCCCGTGGCCCAGGCCCGAGTCCAGCACCCCCCCCACCATGCGCCAGGAGTAGGACCCGCAGTCGCCCGTGCAGCCCGAGGTGAAGTTGGCCGGGAGGCCGTTGACGGAGGGCGAGGCGAAGAAGGAGGAGGGCGAGGCTGGGGTGGGGTTGGTGAGGTGCGCGAGGGAGAACTCCTTGACTGCCACGGAGCCCGGCTCGCATGGCTCGCAGATCTCTGTCTGCGTTGTGTTGTCTATGGCCTTGGCTGTGCCCTGGGGGAGGGAGTTGGGTGCAGGGAGGGGAGGGAGGGAGGGAGGGAGGGAGGGAGGGAGGGAGGGAGGGAGGGAGGGAGGGAGGGAGGGAGGGAGGGAGGGGAGGGAGGGAGGGAGGGAGGGCGGAGGAGGGGAGGGCGGGAAGGAGGGAGAGAGGAATGGCGGTAAAGAAGAGAAGTACAGAACAAGGACTGAAGAGTAGTGGAAGGGAGAGCACAAAAAGAGGACAAAAGCCATAAGGCAGAGAGCAAGA